CCATGCCCTTCTATTGGGGTCCTCCTCCCATAATTCTGCCCGATCCACCTCTTCCTTAACCCTCTGATTCCACACGGGGTTCTTCCGCCTACCCCCCTCTTCCAGCCTCCTGACTTGGTATTTGCTTCTTCCCACACCTCTTCACTTTATCCCACACGCCCTGGCTCTCCCTGGCCAGCTCTATCGCTGCCGACAGTCTGAGCGGTCCTTCTTTCAGTACGCCGTGGCGAACATGCTCGTCGCTCAGCGCCTCTACATACAGGTCCGCCAGTTGGGCCTGCATAACCGCATTATCCCTGACCACTTGGGGAATGCCAACGACGATAGCTTCCCCGCTCGGGCCCCTAATTCTCCCGGGTTTCATCCCGTAGCTGTGTCAGTTTTAAAGGGCCCTCATGGCCTCTATGGCCGTACCTTCATCGGCGAACTCTTTGGTTAGCAGTCTTTTATCTCTTCCCAAGACAAGCAGGGTTGATTTTCCAAGAGCCCCTCACGAACTCAGACGCTTTTCCCTTTGTGGCATCGTATGCCAAATACAGGGTTTCTTGGTCCGAAAGCTCGTAGATGATTCGGCTCTTCTCAAGGATTGCCAGCCAGTTTTTAAACTCCTTCCCGCTGCCATCAAATACTGGGACCTTCGGTCCACCTAACAGCTTCCTTAAATCCACTGACAACCCCCGCCTTACTTCCTCTTCACCCCCCACTGCTCTATCCGAATCATAGTCTGACATGTCTACAGAGAAAGACAATCTATGCAGCAACAATCGAGGTTGGGAAATAAAATAAGGTGTCCTACCTTACAGACGATTCTGTTCTTTTCTTCTTTTGGTCCCGGGTCGTTCTGAGTTCTGTTTGAATTTTCAGCAACGGCGGTCGATCGTGGTCTTCTCAGGGTTGAAATCCCTCGGTCACGGCACCATATGTGATGGGTACACACCTGGCCCAGGGTCGAATCCCTTGGTTATGGCGCCAACTGTGACGTCGCTCCTCCTGGTCGCTCCTCCTGGTTCCAAGCATGCCGCTCCAACCCCTTGGTTAGATGATCACCAGCCTCGCCTTTCCCAACTCGCTTCCAATACCTGGTTACTGAAGCAACTGTACTGATCTCCGGTCTGTCTACCCACGTTGTGTTTAGATCTTAGACAGACGGGACCAGCAGGGATTGGGGCCGATACAAGTTGAGTCCGACGGGGGTGGCAAAACACAAGTAAAAGAAAAAAAAAAAAAACTCACGAGACAAAAAATTACCGATAAAAAAGGGTGACAACCTTTTATATCTAATGTCCGTTACACAAAGAAAAATTGTTCTTATTTCCCGACCCACTCTGTGGACTATGGCACCAAGCTTCTATCATACAACTTAAAGATTTCGAATTGCCTACTCTTCAGAATTATGTATGTCGGAGTGTGGTCTAGTTCGACACTGGGGCTAATTTCTGTCAATCATTCGCAGTTGATTCTTCTCTTCGACTTGAGTTGTATTTCTTCACTTCGATCTGGTTGGGTCGAATTCTGTTCTCGGCTGGGCTTGATTTCAACTTCTTCTTCTTCTTCCGTCCAGTAACTCTTTGGCCTTGTCTTCGACTTGGCTGCAACTTCTCCTTGGCTTTCAAGTAATCTTCTTCTTCGTCGACTTAGATGGAACTTCTCTTGTCTTCGACTTGGGCTGGAAGGATTTCTTGCCGCAACTCAGCCGCAACTCTTTGTCGTCCGAGGTGGTCTCTTCTCGCTGCCGTCCGGGGCTGAACTCCTTTTTGTCGATTGGGGTCTTGCTTTTATTGACGCCGCAGCAAACCGGGGTGGGTCTGTCGGCGTCAGGGCTCTCTCGATAATCCCAAAAGTCGCATTAGTTCTGATTTCCCATTATCGCTATTATTTTCACCCCTACTTCCTCACAGTGCCTCTGGGGGGAAGACGCATACCCATCTCTCCCGGTCTCTCGTATGTCAGGTGACCGTTTTCGACCAATGGTTCCTGATCGAACATTCTCCCTCCTCTTTCCGCATATCACGTGACCGCTTTCGGCTAATGAGACTGTGGTGGGACGCCTCCCGTCTCCAATCGGGCGTGGCTTACATCGTTCTTGTTCTAAAAAAAAAAAAAATCTAATTTGGCCTTTTTTCGCACGTACGAAAAAATGATAATCTTGGCTTTTTTCTCACCTGGGTTCTGTCAAAACAGCCTGCCGCTAATTAGATGTGACTTCAGGAAAGAATATTGGCGCTATCTGTGAGCCGAGACAATCGTTTTTTCACCTCTTTGTTTTTGGTCAGACCTGATAGTCAAAAATCTTAATTATCTGAATTGAAAATGTCTCCACTTCATCATCGTGGGGTTCCAATCCTTAACAGGTCAGAATCTGTATACAGTTCCACCGGTCACCCCCTCAACCCAAAAGACACCTTTCCTCCGATTAAAATTTCGTTTCCATTGTTCTAAAAATTTCCCTTTCTCCAAATTGATAATGAGTCTTTCTAACGCAAAAAGTCGGTCATGTGCTTTGACCGATATTTTTTATTATCAATACACTCTTATCAAGCATGGTCCCTTCCACTCTCTAAATGACTTTCCCTTCTAAATAACAAATCCCTATTGTCTTTTCGAAATTCGGCCAACATGTTGGCCAAGATATCTTTCTGACACCTGTTTTCACTAATGACTGGGTCATGCATCATCCATCTCTCTTTCTTTTTTTTCTTTTTCTTCCTCTTTCTTTTCTTTTTCTTTTAGGATCGTCTAAGTACAACTTAGTGAATTATTTTCAACTCAATTATTCTTCGTCTAAAAAAAAAACTAACAACCTGTTTAATAAACCGAGTAAAAAAAAAAATTAAATCATATCTCTATGAATATTTCTAATAATGCAAGGTGCCACACTCAAATTCCAGTGGAATTGAATTCTACAAAACTCATTTGTTTTTAAAAGTTGAAGAATCAATTGATATTGATTTCAGAAATTTGTGAATTGAAAATTGCAAGTGGCATTCATGCAAAATATTTTCTTCAACTTTTGATATATGTATGAGGCGAATGAAGAAAACAGTAACCAGCGAGTAAATTCAAGCTCTCCCAGCTGGTATTTCAAACTTGAGTCGTTCCTTCTTGAGTTCTGTCTCCAAATCACACTAACTGCCCATTCTAGCCGTCAACCGTGAACGTCCCTCGAAGAACTCCCCGACTCGGAAAAAAGTAGTTCTTTTTATAATTGTTCATGTACCCATAATCCCTTGCGTCTTCATGTGATCCCATAATTCATTGTGTCCATGTCCCATAATGCATTGCATCGTTATTGCATAAAAATGCGATGCCAGTCCCCCCTCATTCTTTTACATTCTCTGGCCGAGGATGGATTACGGCAGAGCGGTAAGTGCTTTTTTCTCTCCCTCATTTCAACTGCAGTAACTTTACATGCTAAGCAAATACGGGCTCTTTTTTGGCGGGGACAAGGCAAGTCGCGACCAGTTGTGCTCGTCCCAGGTTCTGTCTCATGTCCGCCACAATGTAATTATTCGCTGTTTGTAAAAATACTTCCAGATCTAAACATTGATCAAAATAAATTCAACATCATTTGGATTATTAATTTCTCTTCTGTTTTAATGTGAGTCAATGTCATTCTTAATACTGATTCCAATTCAATTAAATACAAAATAGCCACATAGCTACTTCTGCCTGTTTTTGTTCTATCATTTGGTTCTAATAAGGAATGAAGTTGCAATATATCCCCGCTCTCTCCAGTCATTTAAATACTTTGGTCTTTTTATGCTACATACTAGCCAGCTAATTTCAAAACCAAGTTTTTCTACACTCCTAATGTCCTTCAAAGTAAGAGGTGGGGCTGTCTCCACCAAGGGCTCATCAACTGACAAATCCATTAGTGTGGATCTAGATCCTGTTTTTATAGGATTTAAATTTGGATCATTCATTACCATGTCATGCTTGCATATTCCATTGGTGTCATCTGTGCTAAAACTAAATCTGATAAAAAAATGTGCAGGGCAACTGTGCAAAATGTTGTCTTACACTTTTGAACCTTTTCTTTGTACATCAGCTGAGAGTGATAATTTTGATTAAACTAATGCCCAGTTTTATAGTCTAATAATCGCTATATTTGAGATGGCACAAAAATATTCCAAAAGCCCAAGCAACAGTTTTTGATAAGTCATTGTATTCTTGCATAGTGTAGATGTATTTTAGGAATTTGTTAACTTCAAAAATCAATGCTAGTCAAATTGCATATAATTCTGTTCCACCTAAGATAATAAACTAGGGGCAAAGTAGATTCACTTTATGCTTCCATTTGACATATTCAGGATTGTAATGTACTAAACACCTGATATTTTAACAAATGTATACAAAGGAGATAAGGTATGAAATGAAATTGTTCAAATATTAATAACTGATAAGTGGTAAATAGTTATAGAGTTATAAAACAATTGTTAGAGCATGTACTACAAGGTGCTAACAAATATGATTGGTGAATTCCTCTTGAATCAATTCTGTGGCCATTTTTTAACTCTTTCTTGTGATGGGTGAATTCCTACTGAAATGATTCTCTGGCTGTCTCTAACTTTATCTTATGATGGGGGAATTCCTTCCATGTAGATTATGTAACCAAGGCAAATGATAGAGGATTTGTGAAACTCATATTTATCATTTTTAAGTCATGGTCTTGTAATCACTTTAACACTATACAGGTTTTATAACTTATGTAGTATCATGCCACCTGTCGAAAAATGCTACAAACTTTTATTCCAATCCAATATCAGCAAAGAAGATGAAGATAATTGTGCTTCTCTTTGTTTTTCCCTATCACCTCTTGACATGAAAAGTCAAGAGGTGACATGGAAAATATTTAATATCTGTTCTTAAAAATTCAACTTTTTGTGTTAGCTACATTTTGAATCCATTTATAGACAAATTTATAGTTAATGAGCATGTAGAAATCAAGAAGGAATGGAAAATGTTGGATTTTTTGGGATTCAATTTTATTTGTTTTACAGCAAGCAAAAATAGATTTGATTGATCTTGAAGAGAAACTCCAGAACCAGAAAAATGAAAAAGAAATTTTGTTGCAAAATCTTGTGGAAACTGAGTAAGTTTTTTTTTTTTTTTTTTTTCTTTTTGGAAAAATCACAACTACTTCAATAATCAGTATTTATGAATTTGTTCTTTATTTTAACTTTTTCAGAAAAAAATCTGTCAACACTTTTGGGTTGGGAAGAAATGAAACTTCAACATTTGTGAACAGTTAATCATTATTTAAAGAGTTATTTGAACTAGCATCCATCATTATATTTTTGCCAGTGAGATCTCTGGCCTTCATTAGGTGTCTATTACAGCTGGTAATCTTCAGTTTTCTTCTTTCCAAAATTTCTATTTCAGCACTTGAACAACGAGGAAGCCTGAAGAGCCCACTGTCCAGAACATAGCAATCAAATAAACGAAGATGAAGATACTAGTTCAAATTATGACATTTCAGCATTTGAGAAAAACAATCAATTTAATCAACTAATGAACATCAGTTGTTTGTCAAACATTTGCATCAACTTTTGTTTCGTTATGCCTCGTTTTGTTTTGATTTGACTTTTAGTTGAAAGTTCCATACAGATTTTATCCAACATTAATCATTTCAATGAATGAATCTAATTTTAAAGTACATTTACTTTTTGTGCTAAACAAATTGATTTCATACTCATTTTTAATCTCATAATCCTGGATTATAGGATAATCCTGACCCATTAACTCTTCCTTGAAGGTTATCTCTTGCCAACCAAAGTTTTCAGCAAGCTCTCTAAGCCTGCTAATATATATATTGGTCATTTTTGTGCTAGTTTTAATAAAGAAATCATCTGACTTGAAATTATTAAGGAAAACTCTTGGGATAGCACAGGAAAAGATCAATTGAAATGTAAAATCATTGGTTAGAAAACCAGAGGACCTCAGATTTTTGCTACCCATCCTAAAATTTGAGTGTAATAAAGAAGACAAGTGGTGACCCAAAATGACAGAAAAAAGTCCTGTTTATTAAAAATACTGCATTTATTCCAACTGGGTTTCAATTGTTGAACTAACTCTTCCCAACTTGAGGTGTTGTCTTTCTTTGGTAAATCAGTTAACATCCTCAGGGGTTTATTCTTCACAATAATATATATCCTTCAAATTTAGCCCTCAGGCAGTTGGAACTAGGTGGATTAACAGACTTTATTGATGTCCCCCATGGGATGAAGTGTTTGGGTGAAGCATTCTACAAAACAAGGAAATTTTAACTGAAAAATTTCCAACTGAATTTGATGAAATTGACAACTACTTTTTATTGAAGGCTTTACACTGCTGTTCCCTGCCTACACCAACTCTGCTTTTCTTTCATTGTTACAAATACGTATTTATTGTGAAGAATAAAACCTGAGGATGTTAACTAATTTACCAAAAAAAGACAACACCTCAAGTTGGGAAGAGTTAGTTCAACATTTGAAACCCAGTTGGAATAAATGCAGTATTTTTAATAAACAGGACTTTTTTCTGTCATTTTGGGTCACCACTTGTCTTCTTTATTACACTCAATTTGGTGGATATTTTGGACAACTCTGCCAAGAGACTTCTTCAAATCTAACAATACACAACATAAGTGGAAAGATTGGCCGAGAGAGAGAGAGAAAGAGAGACAAGGTTAATGAAAGCGGTGACTTATCATACTTGGTTTTAATTGAAAAATTTCTTGCTGTATCTTTTTATTAAAGTGAGACGACAATTACAGGCCATGCCTCTTCTAATTAATCGTCTTTTCATGCTGAATAAAGCTCAAGATAGGTTGAGCCTATTAAATAATATTTTCTTCACTAATAACAATGGTTCTGTATGGAAAATTATTGAAAAGTGTTTATCAGTTTCCTGTGTTAACTCCATTCAAAGTGAATGTCATGTAACATTCACTGTTAGATGGTAATTGGAATATGTATAAAATCAAACAAATTGCTTTGTTTATTCTTCTTGCAGTTTATGCTAATGAATCATCTAAAACATTTTCCAATAAAAGCAACCCAAATAGATACTGGAGAATTCATAAAAATATTTGTGATTGTGAACTAATTTGTCAATAAAATACCTAAATAGTTGACAATACAGTAGGGAATAAAACTGAAGAAAAAGATGAGAGAAGATTAATTATGACACCTTTCATTGCTTAATTGGTAAAGGCCTCACCCACAAAAGACAAGCTCTTTTAGTATATAATGAAAATTCAAGACCACTACAGCAATTTTTTTATTGCAATTTTTGGCAGTTTATTTAAGTCAAGAAAGAATTTAAAAAAACAAAAATCAACAAAAGTCTAGAAGAAATTCTAGTTAGTGTCACTATCTTGATTGGTATAGACTCGATATTTTGGCTATTTTATTTTTTCAACCATCTTCAGGTGTCTGTTGATGTTGGTAACCTTCTAAGAATTTTAAACTAAATCTATCATTAAAATTTATAAGGGATGAGTTGGTCTCATTCTGCTGTCATTATAACAATCAAAATGATGTTCACTTATTCAATAAACAACAAAAGTTGATTTTGAATCATCAGAATCGACTTTTATTGTTTATTAGTTTGACTGCCATGGTTAACAGAATCTGCTTTTAATGTTTGTTGTAAACTTTATTTTCAAAAATGATTATTTCTGATTTGTCCTCTAGCCAAATGAATTCATTTTAATCAATTTGTTTGAATAAAATTTGATGAAAATGTCAATGTAAAAAAGAATCTTTCCATTTGTTGCTCTTGTAAATCTGAATTGTGAACAATAGCAGGAACTTTACGGCCAATTCTTTTCTATTTCCCTTGCTGACCATACAGTAAAGTTTATTACAATGATGTTTCACAATCAGCCATCAATGATAGAAAATGTTTTATTGCAGTCAACAGATCATGTTATGGGAACGGAAGATTCAATTGCTGAAGGAAACACGTGCAGCAGTTGACACAGACTTTGATCAAGGAGAAATTAAATCCATGAAAGCAGAAATCCATCGAATGGAAGTGCGATATGCTCAGCTGATACGTCAGCAAAATAAAATGATTCAAGAAACAGAAAGATTTTTTCTCCGGTAAAGAAATGATCTACATTTTAAATTCTTTCACATTCTCTTATTTTTTTCCTAACATTTCTTTGAAATTTGTCAAAGAGTTTTCAAGTTGAACTAGGAAATACAATCTGAATCTCATTTCTGAAAATTATAACAAGAAGTTGCTCATTTTTTTACATTTATAGACAATAAATTGTAAAAAATATTGGATGATGCATTTTTGTTAGAAACATTTGAAATTAAGAAAAATCATTCTTAATTTTAATATATATTTCAATTTTATGAAGAAATATTTTAAGTAAATTGGAATCCGAGACTTCATTATAATGTTTTGTGTTATTTTGGGTCTATGGAAGATTGAGCTCTGTTTTTATCTACTATGTCAAATTTTATGATGTAAGTCAATGGTTTCAGAATAAAATTTTTATTTTGGAATATTTGATTAATATACTATTTTAAATGTACATATAATATCTATTTTTATTAGAAATATTTCTAATAACTTATTTGGTTTTATGAGATTTTTATTATGCAAATCAAAGATTATTCATTCTTTTGGCAATAAATATTTATAATAGTCTCATCATTGATAGTTATTTCCAATATATAAAGAATTACATTCAGATTCAGAAAAAATTGGCATGATTTATAAGAAAGCTCTAAGCACAAAAAAGAAACAAGATATTGTAAAGTTATTGAGTAATTAGAACGCAACATTGGAAAGATAAGAAGAAGCCCCAAAAATGGGCTTCAAAATGATACAAGAAGCAATTTTAAAAAATTAAAAGGTTAATAAATAAGAAAGGGAAATTTTTAGTAGTGATGAATATAGAGTTACATTGGAATAACTGATGAGAACAGTGGGAAGTGGAGTAAATTTTTAGGCCTGTATTGTAGGCAATAGAATCATATTCCCTTCAAAGTTGATGATGATGGTGTCAAGGTAAATGTAAAGAATTATTTAAGTTCTTAAACAAGACATTTGTTTGTGATCACAACCAAGAAGCTTTAAGCCAAAGCACGTAGATTGAACATGTTGAACAATGCTCCTTCACATTTTGTAAATCTGATTGTTTCCCACTTTGCCAAAAAATGTTTCAACCTGAATCTCCAGCTTCTTCAGATATTAATCTAAAAAAGAAAAAAACTTGTGATCCATGATTAAATGAATGGAAAACAATATTCAAGCAAAAAAAAATCTCTGGGAAGGAATAAAAACTGATGCAAGTAATGTTAAAGTTAAAACAGTAGAAAAGTTATGAAAATCAATAAAGGAAAAACTGATGAACTTTATAGAATATGAAAAAAGAGACATATTAATATGTAAAATAATAAAATGATAATTTATTCAGGTGGATAAGTACTAATTAAATCTATTTTTCTTTGGCTCAAATCTTTTGGATTTGTTTATAAAAAAAAAGTATATGTTGCAATTAACTTGTTTGCATAATAAAAGCTGACATTCCCAAACCAAATTATTATCAATATGTTTTAATAAGGATAAATATTAAATGCTAAAACTCTTAACAAAAGGTCTGAAAAGTTCATAGGCTCACTATGAAGGAGTGATGCTAGAGCTGTGAAATCTTTCATATATTAATTTCAACTCTTCTTATTAATAACTGCATTGTTTCTTTTCAGGTAAACTGACATCTGACTGTTAAAAGTGACTTCAAAAGTAATTAGGAAGCTACGAAAAGCTATCACAACCAAATACCCAGGAAAACTGACAAAAAGTGTCTTGTTTCATCAGGACAATGCTCCAGTGCACAAGTCCTTGATTTCAATGGCTGCTGTGCAAGACTGTGGTTTTGACTGGTTGGTCCCCCCCCAACACCTATTCTCCTAATTTGACTTTCATCTGTTCCCCAACATGAAAAAACTCTTGGCTGAGAATCTGAATATTGCAGTGATGATGACGACATATCTGCTGTTGATGACTTTTTTGGCAAACAGGACGGGCATTTTCCTTTGAATAGTCAGATGTCAGTTTACCTGGAAAAAAGAATGGTTATTAATAAGAAGAGTTGATATTAAAGTATCGAATATTTCAGAGCTCTAGCATCACTCATTCATAGTCAGCCTATGAAAATTTTAGCCCACCCTCATATCTCCCATAAAATATAAGCATATCCTGAACATTTTACTAATGTTAGTTGCTTAATATTAGGCTTACCATAAATTCTAAGCCTCTGATCAAACAGTTTTTAATTTCCAGTATAGATTTAGTTTACTTGTATAATAGTGTTTTCATGACTCGGTACATTTTAAGTTTCAGTGTTGACATAAATGAATGCTGATCATTTATACCAGGTGTGTCAAACTGGTGGCCTGTGGGCCACATGTGGCCTTTTACATGCATCTTGGCAGCCCTCACAAAGGTTTCTATAGCTGTGTTATATAGAGAATTTTGTCTATGTTGGTAATGCAAATTAATAATTAATAAAAACAGTGGGATTTTTTTCAATTGGCAAGATTCGATTGTTTATTCTATCTCAATAGTTTTTTTGTTTTCGAATGTCAGCAACTATTTTGAACTTCCGGTTAATCATGTGATCATCCTTAACAACTAAATAAGAACAACTATGAAAGGTAAAAAAAAAAACAGTTGAAAAACTAATACAGAATTTATCCATTTCAATGTAAGGCACGAGACAGGGGTCATGGGAGGGTGGAAGGTATTTGTCTTAAAGGGAAGAAGTTTTATAAAATTAAACTTGAATATTAACATTAATTTGAGGTTATATGAAGAATGAAATATCAATTTAAGATTAAAAGAGGAATACAAAGGGGTTTAAAAATAACTTTAAAATATATAGATAACAGGATGTAAGGGATTAATGAAAAGAGAGTTGGGGAGATCTTAGAATAGGAGAATGTTTATAGATTATAATTAATATAGTATAAAGAGGTTATACAGGGGAGGAAATATAGAAATTAGAATTAGTTATACGTTCAACATTTGAAGAGTTAGAGGGGAGTAAATATTATGGAAATATAGTAGCTTAAACCTATATTATGGAAATTTGAATTAATTTTTATGTCAACATTTTAACATTAATTCATTCCTCTGATCAATAGCTGGCTTTGGTTATTGTATTTTTTTATTCTAATTTTTTTTTCTAAATATAAGTAACACCTATCTCTAAGACTATTAGGAGTATGTGCAGAACCTATATATATATTATTGTGTATAACATGAATTAATAGGTAGAAAGCAGAAAATAAATTAACATTGCTAGTTATGTTCAAAAACCAAATCTTTTTTATTAAATCTCTGCATTTGTAAATCAGAAAGAAAGAAATTTGATTTGGGATTTGATAATCTAAATGTTGTTCCTTAAAATTCTGATAGTATTTCTTTGTCTTTTCAAGACGTGATAGTATTACTGTCCAAGGGGAAGCTCGATTAAATAAGAAAGTTTTCACAAAAGGCACCCTCACTCGACAACTGACAGACTTGAAGAAGAAGATTAAACAATCTGCTCAGGTAAAAAATAAAATTTCTCAGTTTTGAATTCTTTCATTTAGATTTTGCAATGAAAAACATTTTCAATGGCAACTTTACATTTTCTAGTAAACAGAATTTGTTTGTAATTGGAAAGTTTCCAAATGATGGGTTCTGTTTTATTCCAGTTATTTGATAAAAAGATGTTTGTAAAAATGTTTGAAGATAAATTGTTGTCAACTTAAGTTATCTTTTGCTTTTAACATAACACGTTTTCTTTCAACGTATGTTGTTTCAAATGCTGTAAAAATCAAAATGGAGATTTTGACATTTTTTTTCAGTTTGAACATGTTAATATTTCAGATTAAAAAAAAACTACCATGAATTACGCTAAAGTCATAAATATTTGATAAACAAAGAAAAAAATGACTTTGAATTTTTTAATATTTGAAAAAAAATAGTTTCCAATTTTTATTGGCTGTTTAAGTTCTTGTATAATAACATTTTCCTGAACTGACACTCCTTAAACTTTAGGGGATTTCTCTCTCTCTCTCACACAGACACACACAATTACTGCTAACTTATATCTCTAGTGGGACACCAGGACATAATCCTAAAATGAGGACAATCCCAGTCAAGTTGTGTATAGTTCAGTCTGTTTCTTTGTTGTTCAACATAAAACATAGCTCAGTTTTAAATAAATGAAATTTGAAAAACAGAAGAATATGCATTCAATCAAAATCTTTCTACCCAAACTCCTGTTATGATCCAGGATAATGGTGATATTTCATCATTCTAAAAATAACTTTGCCATCAGTGATGATAGAAAATAAGGATATTTCATCATCCTAAAAACAACCCAGCCACCAGTGACAAAAGATATCTAAAATCTTATTATAAAAACAACCCTTCTACCACAATTGATGACAGTAGAGTAGGATCAGTAGAGTAGAGTAGCAAGTGGCAGTAGTAAAAAGGCCCAACATTCACATATCCTCACCCCTTCTTGTAAAATTGAAAACTGACAATCTCAAATGTTATCCTCACCAACAAAATTCTCAGAACAAGCAAAAAATAGTGAGCACAAACTTCTAAAGAAACAAAAGAGACAGTAATACTGAGGACATTTTTAATACACACCATACCAATATCTGTAATTCACATCACATAAAAGAAAATACACAAATTCTTCTTATTAATGTCAACATGTGTCTCAAGTGTTATTGTTGTTATACTGTTGTACATTTCATGCATTTTTAATTTAAAAAAAAAAGAAATAATACTAATATTCTGTCATTAACATCAACCCTGTTCCACTCAACAAATAATATCATGTTGAGATAACTACTACATCAAACACCGTTAAATTCCAAACATAATATTCCACACATAATTTCCACTTTGGTAACAAGTTATCGATTTTCTTCCTAAAGAATTCATTTTAAGAAACAATAAATTTATAGAAAACTGATATTTGCTCCTGATTGGAACATTCTTAGGAAATGTCTGAGATTTTAGAATAAGGGTTTGAGTGATATTTAAAAAAAGAGAGGTTGTGTCAATATTTCAGAGGACAGTAAAATGTTCAGCTCATTCCATAAATTTTCAACTTAAGAGTGAGTTCCTATGTGAACTTCTAGGAAGAGTTATCATTATTTACAATGGGACTACTATTCTCATCTTTGTTGTGATGATCACATTTCAGCCATTATTCCATCTGGCCTTAATCAGGTGTCTTGATCAAGGGAATATAGAACAAACTTTTGTAGCAGTAAAAAAAAGAGGAGCAATGGTTAAAGGATCTAGAATCGGAATTGTACCCATTAGACAATAGCTGGGTCACAAGAACAATTCTGAGTCTAGAATTGGTTCATGAATTAGATCCCTGGGGTCTTCTTATACAGATTCAGACAAATCAGGACTAATAATAACTGGGCAGTACTAAAAAAAAAACAAGACAACATATCCCAAGAGTGGAACAAGAACAATCTACCCACCTGTAGATTACATAAAGGGATCAGTTTGAAATTCCCTGGTGGTTGCTTGGCTGAAATGTGATAACAATAACAAAGATGAGGACATTAGTTTGAATCTAAAAAATTTATATTAAGAGTGAGCATTCTACGGCAAAAGGACTCTCTTTAAATGTTTGTTTGAATTTTGATTGCATGATTTCAAGTTTCTGTGTATGCTATTTTGGGGGGAAAGGAAAGGGGGATATTTTGAAGAAAGTGTTTTTGTTAAAGCTCCTTCACCATAACATCTTTCAGGGATTAAAACTTTGTTTAGATTTTCATTTTTTTTCATTTTTCATCACAATGACACAAGGCAAAAGTAATTCATTGTTATGGTTGGAATTTCTACAGCCTTTGATATGTCAAATTCTTACTTTTTCATTTTTTTTTTTTTGTCATTTGCTTATAAATAATTTGAAATTCTTTTCATCAATACATTCAAGTTGGTTGCAAGTCTTTTGTGATTTATGAATCCCTATACACATCATCTTCTCTCTTTGATGATTTGTCTTGATTTTCTAAATTGAAATCTCCACTTGAAAATTTTAAAAAATCAAACCAGTAACATGCAGAATTTTTATTCTTCAAAACTGCTATCGGAGATCGACTTTGCTAAATGGAGAAAAATTAGAGAAACAAAAAAAAATATAGACAGATACTGAATAATTAACAAATTATTTAAAATATCAATATAAAATGTTTTACCAAAAAACTTATAAATCTTAAGCTAAAATCATTATTTTGATATTTTTCTCTTTTACCTCTTCTGGCAAAACTCTTTTGTCACCTGAAACATTTTGTTGCAAAATATGAATTTGAACCAAAATGAAGAAATTGGAACATAAATTAAAAAATGATTTTGTTATGTTTACTTCCAGGAGGCAAACCGTTTTAATTTAGAAATTGAGAATCTTCAGAAGAAACAAAATATTTTTGGAGAGAAGCTTGACAGTGTTCAAGAGGGTTGTATAATGCTGAAGTCACAAGTGGAAATTATTGAAGATGAAACCAGATCAAAAGCAAACAGTAAATATAAAGTGAGATTTTACAAGCAGCTCTTTTTTATTCAATGTCAAATTTTGCCTTAAATGTTTGTCCTTTTTCTTTCTTTTCATTTAATCATTACACAAGAATTAACATCACAGTCACCTCACACTCACAAATTACTGATTTTTGGAAAATGTTTACAAATTTGGCTTGTTGTGAAAAATAAGGTTAGGAAAAAAAAAAAGATCTTTCTTTCATTGAAAATTTAATCTGATATTTTTCACTTCATTGATACTCAGTGTTTTCATACATACATATATGTATGTATGTGTGTGTGTGTTTATGTATGTATGTATGTGCATTCATCTCCCTTTCTTTATATGCATGTATATGTAGGTCATTCACTCCTTTTGTGCATGTTCTTATATATACATATATATATATATGAACACGCTCACACACATATGAACACAGTCATACACATATATATCAATAACTTTGCAGCCAAATGATGAAAAAAGTATTTATTCTAAACAACAAATATTTTCAACATAATCTCCTTCCTTGTCATTGTAATTAATTCTGTGATGAATGCTAATCCCATTAATCAAATATGCAATAGAAAATTTACATAAAAATTTATTCAGTACCTCTGTGTTATGCTTAGAAATTATTGAGTATATATAGCTTGATAAAAAAATTTTGAAAGTGGTTGTAATTAGTTTAATAATATATCATTTACATATATATATACCTCTGGAATCATTCTGTATCAAATGGTGTAATATTTCCTCTATTCCCATGGTCATCACCTTTGATTTTGATGAAATTTCATTTGCTGAAACTTATAAATAGACACAAATCAATCCTGAAAATCCCAATTTGATTGAACTAAAATAGTTCAGAAATTATGATAAATTGAAATGTGTTTAAATTTACATTTCATCTCAAGTCACAGAAATGATTTTGTCAACTTTGGTACTTAAAAAGATAACAAGATGGACTTTTGCTGTCCTGTGGTTTTAAAACCAAATAAACCATTTTCAGCTCCATTTTAAGTGTTTGAGAAGTTTTGTGAATCCTTCAAAACTGGAAGAAGTTGTTTTTAGAGACTGGTAGTCAATATTTGGCCAGCTATAGAAATTAAACAAATGATATTAAAATAAACCTTCCATGGGATTATATTCATTTGGTATCTTGTGTAAAAAATGGAAACAGAATTTATAAGCATTAAGTAATTTTTTGTTGATTAAAACACAAGATAAACCAGAAACCTTTATGTGTCCTTTGCAAGCATTAAAAGCAATGTAGGCAATTAAAAAAAATGGTTCAAATTTTGAACTTTGAATTTTCTGTCTTCTTTCATTATTATAAATTTAAAAATGTTTATCATATGTAAATTGGCCTATCACAGAAAATGATACATTTCAGAGGGTTTTTTTTCCAGGATAATTCTTACCAAATATCAGAATACAAAGCATTACAATCTTGAAATCCATGTTACATGAAAATTAACCTAAATTGTAATTTATAAATATTTTTGTTAATATATGACTCAGTACTCAAGCACTTGCTGAAATCAGGTAAGAAAGGTCAAAATTGCAATTTTTTCTCATTTCTAAGAAATGCAATAAAATATCAATAAAAACATTGGAATTATTTAATATGTCACCATTTTAATAATTTCTCTTAGATTCAGTATTTTTTTAAGTATTTATTATTCACCTTAAAGGTATTATGTAAATGTTATTTGGAAAACAATAATTCCACAAGTTATTTGTCAACATTTTTAAATTTTTAGGAATGAAACAAATGCAATGGCATTCAGTAAAATTTGAAATCTCTTTTTTCATTTGCCTCCATTATTTTTCATGATTTCATAAAGTAAATAAAATACTAAGATTTTACTCCTTTTTTAGGATTTTGAAAATTTTACTTCAAAATTTTGCTTTTATTTTCTAATTCTACATAAAAGAAAAAAGTCAATTTTATTTACTTTTTCATTTTTGCTTTGATGCTGCACAAAATATTTCCTTAAAAAATGGCTTTCAAAGTTTCAAAATTTTGAGGTCCCAAAGAATTTAATTTTGTTTAAATTATGGTCAGTCCAGATTAAAATGTTCTTTTGTATTGAAATAAATCTGCAAACATTTGAGTTCCTATCAACAAATACAAATCACATGTACAATGACCAGAGGTGAATGGGATGTTGTTTGATTTCAGTGAGAAAACAGAAGAAAGAAAGAAAAGATAGAGAGGTACTGATAACATTTCCTGTTTGATTTTGTTTTCATACAGGATATTTGAACTTATGTTAAAACTTAATAGAAAATATCATCATGTTGGTTCCATGACTAATTCTACCCTAACACACACACACACACATATATATATATATATATATATATATACAGAGCTAGACTGTAATTTTATTTACTATTTATTTGCTTTTTCCTGCTTGGGATTGTACTTCCAGTTCCTCCTAAATTCAACTTCCAACTCTCTATTTCTAGTATCTTCGCCTGAGCACTGATATTTTATTCACTGAGTAGTTTTTTTTTTCCTCTTCTCCCTCCCCCAAATAGGAGTAAATAAATTTGCCAATTATCTGATTCATATTTCCCTCCTGGTTCAACTCTATACTTCTAATGTCTCTGCCTGAACTCTGAATTGTTTTCACTAATTAATTATTTTTGTCTCGCACCCCCCCCCCAATAGAAATAGATAGATTCGCCTATCGTTCAGTTCACACTCCTCCCCAATCTTTTGAACAGGAATACAGGTTCATCCCTTGTTTTCTGTTTAGGATTGGGTTTCCGCTTCCTTCTAAAACCTACTTCAACTCAATATTCCTAATGTCTCCACCTGAACACTGAAATTTTATTCACTAATTAAATCTTGACCTTTTCAAGTCTAGAATTAACTATCTATATTTCCTGTTATCTTGCTCTTTCTTACACTAATACGACACCACACCACACAGTAACCTCTACCTTGAGTGGGCCTTGTATTGGGTGAAAATTAATAAAAAAACACTCTCATGTATTTAACATCTGCTTCAGTGAAATGAAAAACCTTGTCAATTTTAAATCTTTCTATTTGTACCCTCTTACTTCTTTAAATAATGACCTGTCTTCATACTGATGATTGTTATTACAATATTTGGTTAAAATTTGTTAAGTTTGAATACTTAACAATGCAATATGGGAAATTCCTTGGGTATTTTGTAGTCATGAAACTCACAAGAGGCTTATTCAATCATTAGATATTATGATGCATCAGAAAATTAAAATAGGAAAACCCTGAAGTTTTCACAGGTACTGCTAGTAATTACTATTGATTTGGGTTTGTTGTGCTAAAACAATAAACACAAATCAATAATGATAATTATTATGACTATATTGTATAGTAATAATAATGATATTTAATAAAACACAGTTTAACAAAGTTTCAATCTAGTGTTGATAGTTTGTTTTTATATTTAACTAGGATCTACTACTTTTGGTCGCTGAACAACAGAAAAGCAAATATTTTCAGCAAGTGAAGGAAGACAAATACAAATTTCTGTACAAGAAAAAATTGTCAAGACATACAGAATTTAAGAAGCAAGTAAATCAGATTCAAGCTCTGCTGGCGATTGTTGAGCAAATGAATCAAGAATATCCGAGATTGCAGTTTAGTCTGGCAAAAGTAGCCCTGACATTGCGAGATTTATGCAAAAAATATTCGTCAAATGAAGAAGAAGAGGAATTAGAAGAAATGACAGAAGAGGAGGAAGGAACAGTAGAAGAGGAAAATGGTCAAGTTTAAGAAACATCCAATCAGCGATTATGAAGTTGGTAATTTTTTCTAATATCTGTGGTTTTCATTTTAAAATAAAAGTGAATTTTAAGAAAATAATTTTGATTTGTTTTCTTTTGTATTTTCTGGTTTGTTTTTGTTTGTTTCAGAAAGCCATTTGCTCTTTTAGAATTTCAATAAACATTCACCAAATTATTTGGTTTCTCATTTTCTTTCCATTTTTGGTGCAGTTTATAACATTTCATCTCTCTCTTTTATTATTGCTGACTTTAGTAGAAATGGAAAATTGAAGTTTCTAAATTCAAATATTTTCGAAATTATCAAAGTAAAATCTGATCCAGATTCTTTGGTAAAACTTTAACTGTTGTGTCTTATCTCAGATGTTGTATTTATAAATAGTTTTTAAATCGTACCTGTCTCTATTTCTGAGAGTAGGGATTGTAACTATTTACAATGTTTGGACTCTTATCCTCATCTTTGTTGCCATACACAATGTTTTGGCTGTTGTATGATCCAACCTTCATCAAGTGATTATTTCATCCACCAAGGGTAGATTCTTCTAGTTCCACATGCCATGACTCATCTGGATATCTCAGTATCAGTTATTTCTCTTTAACTGAACTCGCCTCTGCTGTAGCCAGGTACTGAATTCATAACTCTTAGGGCCAAGTCACTGAGGACATCAGTGCATGAATTTTTGGGACTTATAAACCTAATGTTTCAGTAACCAGAGCTCATATTACAATTTGTTGTTGATATTGTTTTTCTCTAGCACTCCGTATTACTGGTTCCCATATTGTATTCATATCTATGCTTGACCAACTTAGGAGATTTTTGTGGCATAGCATATGTGCTGATTCCTTTTCATATTTTCCAGTGATGTTTTCTATTATTTCAAACTCATTCCACAAGGAGCAGTGATCTCCCTTTTCCCTCTATATATAGTCAACCACGCCCAATTTTTCTATTTCCCTTCATGTTATGGATTTATGGAAGAGGCATGGCATGTGGAACTAGAAAAACCTACTCCAGTGGATGAATTAAAGGATTTTGTTTGAAATTCCAATCACCTGAAGGAGGCCAAAATGTACAATGACTGAAACATTGTGAATATGGCAACAAAAATGTGGATAACAGTCCGAACATTGTAAATAAAAAATTGTAGGTGAAAACAATGGAGGAAAACTTTGTAAAAAATTTTAATTCTTTTTTTATTGCCATATGACATGTACTTCCATGTAAGGAGTAGAAAATGAAGCTGAAAATTACCTGGTTTATATATATATATATATATATATATATATATATATATATATATTGTTATGGACTCTTATCTAATTTTATTCTAAAATCAACACTAAAGTTTATATTTTAGAAGCATGATGATTTGACTGGATACTATTCAGACATTAAAGCAACTTTGAACTCTCTGAGATGCGTCAGAAAAAAGAAAAGGGTCAGTGACCTCTTTTCACCTACACATGTAAAAATCCATAAATAAAGACCGCCACCAAGTCAGTCCCTCTTCAGAATTCAAACAGAATGGACATCCAGCTAAACTTGCTATGATCTGCTATAAATTTAGATGTGTGGAATTGATAGAAATCTATTAAGGTTTCTGAGCTGAAAAGATTCAGTAAAGTGTTGATTAAAAGAAATCAAACTCTGGCGTGCTAAAAGAAGCAGATACAATGAAACAAAGAAAGATATGTTATCCTGAGAGCCAAGGAAAAGAAAGATTCAACTTATTCTTCACTCAACCCCTGGACAAGATGAAAAAGAAAAAGAAAGGAAACCAAAAAGAAATCCATTTCACAGATAAATTTTCTACCCATCAAAGAGAAAAGATAAAAAAAATAAAGGAAAAGAGACACTAAAAGAAAATAAAAATAAAGACTTTTTCAAATAACAGATAAGTCCTTTGTTTCTATTGCCTGTTTTATCTTTGCTCATTTTGCCTTTTTGTCATTTGTAATTTCATGCAAGTTTGGCACAAGGTCGTTTGTCAATATAATATTTACCTTTCTGAAAAGATAAGTTCCCCCATTGTTTTGTCCTGTAATATTTATTTTTTCTCATTGTTTTGTTTTGCCCAGTCTTTCATCTTTTAATATACCCCAACATATTTAATCCCTATATGTATATTTTAGTAATCAAATGGTTACTTGTTAACCCTATATCTTTGCCTTCTGATGTTTGTCCCCTAATGTGTTTGTTCGTTAATTGATTCCATTTATCTCGGCCATGTTTGATCAATCAGGAAAGGACCATCGGTAAATGAATTTGTGATTTTATATTATATGTTACTGTACTTCCCACTACTACCATAACAGTAAAAGAGGGTGGTATGTAATATATATATATATCAGGTGTAACAGCAAAATTGTCCAAATCATGTAAAAGCAAAAATTGTCCATTTCTTAGCTTTGAACCATTGTATCTTAGAAATGATTAATGATATTTTACTGGAATTCTCCAAGGTTTTTATAACACTATTGGACACTACTTTGAGCAATAAGAATGTATAATTACTCTCCAAGCCTAACAGAAGAATCGTGATGAAATCGATCATAAAAGAAAATGATGTGTTCATCATTAATTAATCATAGCTAAGTATTGGAAGCTCATGAAGGATTGAAATTAAGTTTGAATATATATATATTATTCTGGGATAATTTTCCAACTTATTCAAGATGATCTTTGCTCTCTCTAACGTTCTATCTTTCTGTCCAGGAATAACAAGGTGCCTCACATGTTTCACATACGATTTCATTTTCAAGTTTTTTTCACTGCTCTTTGGACTGTCATAGCTGAAAATCCTGTCTCACGTGCCAAACGTCTTATGAATTGAGTTGGATCTTTTCTAATTGATCTCTTTAGCTCTAAGTTCAAATGATGATCATTCTTCCTGTTGTGACCTCCTGATTCAGTTTTCTCTACTGTTCCCTTTTTTTAAACTTATTTACTGTTCTCTTGAGGGTTCTTGAATGGACTTTGAAGATGGATGCCAGAGTGTGAATGTTGGTGCCATTACCGAAGGCCTGAATGATCTTTTTCCTCTCACCATTCATTATTTGGAAAGGCAGTCGGTCTGACACAAAACAATTTTAACCTGTTCTCTTTCTAGCTGAATAACTCAAAGTGTTTTTCAGTGATTCTTACGTCAATGATGTCAAGATAGCTGAACATCTTATCTGAAAACCTGACAAAAAGAAACTCAATTAGTTTAATGGTTTTTTAAGATATTAGATGTGGAATGGACAATTATGCTGTAACATGATTTGGACAATTTTACTGATACGCCCAAAATATATATATATATATATATATATATATAAGAAAGAGGGAGGAAAGAGAACAGCAGCTTCAGGCCTTTTAAGGATTCAAATAAATTTCATTTATACCTGGAATTCCTAAGAGAAAACTGAAGACATAAATAAGAGCTCTAGTTCTTTGTTGTGAAGTTCTCAATTACCCAAAATTCTAAAATCTAAATTGTAGCTCAGGTTGCATGCCCTCATTTGACACTCATGTTCTCGAGAAAGACATATATCCAACTTTTCTTGTGATTTGTTCCATTAATAAAATTTTGTCATATCCACCACATGGTTGATAGAGAAAAAATGGCTAAAATATTTGCTCTTATTTTAACTGAATCATCTTATTTGAATGAGAGACAGCCAATACAAAGTAACTCTACCATGAGATTCCATCAGCATCTTGATATTTTTTTTGATCTTGACATTAATTGTAGACATCATTTTGTTGCTTTATGTTTGTTTTGTGATGGGAGATTCGTTTCCCATTGAAAACGTAATAAAATCTTTTCTTTTTGAATTTCAATCTCTCTGAAAACCTGAGAAAAGTAAGAAGAACGAAAGCTTTTAAGTCTCATCAGAAACAGGACTAATGGAGATAAATTACTTCCCCTGAACTAGCTTTAACTTCGATCATTGTTTTAGTGTTTAATTCAAGCTAAAGCCCATTCCTGAATATGTATGGGTGCTATTGGGTTACCTTGCTCTAAGCATACCTACTTCTGCTACAGCTGCAGTATATGTGGTGCTCCAACAACCCTAGCCGAATACGAGTCTATTGAATGCAACATAAATTATTTAAAGTAATGTTGCTTTTGTTTGCAATTGCAGAAATTAAATTTGATTTTATTATTTTCTTTTCATCAATAAACACCATGTTTGATGTGAATCTCTGCCGAAAAAACCCTTGCTTTAAGGTTGTTCATTTCAATAACTTTTCCCGTTCAGTACTGCAATAAAACTCCTGCCGAATTAAATTATATCTTTCGTTCGACTTATCCTAATTAATTTAAATTATTTGATGATCGTTATAAGAAAATGAACAAAAAACAAAACAAAAAAAACAAAGAAATAATCAATTATTAAGAAAAGAAAAAAAAATCGTTCTCCATGGCGTTCTTCACTTAACTAACGGAAGTACTAAACAGCAAGGAAAATATTCTTTCATCTAAACTCCTTATGTGTAAAGTAGTTTGAAGTGTTATGCTTCATACAATGGTGGTAAATATAAATGAATACAATAAAGCTTTTGAATCTTATAGTCAGCGGTGTTGATTTATCAGTGTTAAAAGTACTGCTCAGTGGCTTATTTTTGTTTGCAGGTCTAATCGATTTATAAGAAAGGAACTCGAATATTTTGTAGTGTTGAATTACTACTCCCGTATGATAATCACAAGTGGTGCAATATCTGAAAGCCTCTTC